CAAGAATGAGACCCAAATTTCTGGCACTGTCAACCAAATAGAAGGTGATGTGATGAACCGAGATAGAAAAAATTAGGGGGAGGCTGCTCATTCTAGAGCAAAAAGACCACCCCTTTTCCTTCTTTTCGTTTTTGTTTTTGGTTCCAGGGATTGAACTCAGGTCCTTGCGCTGGCAAGGCAAACAGTAGAACCACTGAGCTAAAACCCCATCCCCCTTTCCTTCTTAAAAAGAATATCCGTGGGCTAGAAACATTGAGAAATTTCTGAGAGCTAAAGAGCAGATGAGGTTCCTTGGCGAAGAAATTAAGGCAAAGAAACTTACAGCCTTCAAAGCTAGGGGTAAGGACAACTCCCACTCAAAAAGAGTCCTGTTGAGGAAATAAGCTTATCTAACTCCAGAGGAGAGCCATACTAGCTTCCTGTTCCATTTAACACTTTCCTTCACTTATAAATGGAATGGATAAAAAGAACAATGAAAAACAACTGCATGAAAATAAGGTTTAATAAACAAGTAGAATGATTTGCTCAATAAAATTCTAAAATTATTCAAATTACAGCCAAGATCTGTAATTCTTTAAAAATTCTTATTCTTGGAGAGATATGGACATTGCATGTATGAAACAAGAACATGTCACTATGAAAAAGGAGCAATCCACAAATATAACAGTTTTTGAAATTGAAAATAATTGTCCAACTTTTAAAAAATTCGGTGAAGAGATTGAATAATGGGATGGACAAAGGGCTTGGCACTGAGGTACATCTCTAGTGCTTCTTTTTATTTATTATTCTTTTTTTTGACACAGATTCTCATTAAGTTGCCCAGGATGGCTTTAACTTTCCATCCTTTAGCCTCAGTGGCCTGGGTAGCTTGGATTACAGGTGTGCACCATTATACCCAGGTTATGACTTTTTTAATATGGAAAAAAAGTTAATGAAATTCCCTAAGGCAGGACAAAAAGGACATAGAACATATGACGAAAGTTAAGAGGCATGGAGAAGGGGTGCAGGAGGTTCAATATCCATCTAACAGAATTTTCAGAAAGATACAACAGATAAGACTAGCGGAGGAAAATAATAATTAAAGAAGCACCACATTGTATAGCATAAATATAAACAATTATTATTTGTCAACTAAAAATTCAATTAAAAATAATTAAAGAAGCAGGAAGCATTTCAGAAGGAGGAGAATGAGGAGGAGGAGGAGGAGGAGATTTAGATTGAGGGGGCCCACTAAATCCAAGCCAGAGAAATGAACACACACATGAAGAACCAGGGTGGGGGAAGTGGGTGAGTTCGGCTTGAACGTGCCTTTGGGAGAGCAGGAGAGAAATTCTGCCTGGCCTTTGGATGTATGAAATTGAAGCCCTGGGTAATGGTCAGGGCTGGAGAGAGATCTGAAATCAGTGAAGGACCTTTGGAGAAGGAAGAAGAGAGCCAGAGAGAGGACCAGAAAAGAGAGGACAGAGGAGAGAACCCAGGAAGGATGAATAAAGCAGATGGAACCCTTCCGCACATCCATCGGAGGTGTCTTAGCTGTTGTCTTCCAGGAAGAAGTGAACTATCCCCCGGTCTATACTCTGCTGCTCCGGGCTCCCATGAGCTAGACTGATTTCTCCCTCAAAGCATCATCCACCTCCCTGGATGGGAACGGGTTTATGGCTGCCAAAGATGAAAACTGCTGAGAGGAGTGGGCTGGGGGCTGCACGACTGAGATCAGTCCATTTTCAAGTGGAAATCAAATCTTTGTGCGTGCTGAAACAAGCTGGCTCTCTGCTGAAGCGGCTCATTCCGAACCACTTGGAAGCAGACGGCTCACCTAAGGGTGGGAGATAACACACCTAACGGTGAGGCGGGGCCACTTTCAGTGTGGTTTGCTTGGGGAGGGGTGAGTAAGGGTGGCAGCCACAGGGCAGAGTGAGAAAGGAGAGTGAGGGAGGCAGTCAGTGAGAGGACTCAGTACAAAGGGCAGGGATGCGATCCAGTCTTCACTGGCTTGCAGCCGAGGGGACCTTGCCTCAGATAGAGTGGCACCGAGCCTCTGAGAGGAGAAGAGGATTGGGAAGCACAGGAGGTTTTGAGAACTGGGCTGTTTCTTCTCCCCCAAGTGAAGGCTGTTGCTTCTGCATCTTTCTCCCTGGAGTGGCATATTGGGGAGCTGGGAGTCCCTCTAAGACCCACAGATGACTTGGCCTTTGGACTTGAAAGTAACTAATAATGTGTACATCCCCAAATATTCTCTGCCTCTGCTATTCTGCCTGTGTGTTGCAGGGGAAGGGATGTCTGTGTGTATTTCAGTATCACAACCTCTCTCTTACACATACAAATACACACTCGTGCACTTACACAATACCACACCACACTTTCTTAATGACCAAGTTGCACTTTTTTCTTTCCCTTCCTCAGCTTCCCTGAACCCTGCCCTAAATAAGCAAGATCACCCTTCTTCCCTTTGGAACCTTTCAGAGGGGCTAGGGTAGGAGCCTCAGTAAGAAGGGGCCAGGAAGAGGACACTGGAAGTAACCAATGAGAGGATAGTTTTCCATAGTTGGGAGAGGAACCTGACGTAATCTGTCTGAGTGACCAGGGACGCCCTGAATCCTGACAGCTTTGGCGGTGGAGTGGATACCCAAAGAGCTGCAGATGGAGGTGCAGTGTATTATCCCCAGACAAGCAGCGGGCCAGCTGCCCCCACAGATCAGTCCAGCAGAAAATAATGCTCACTGTTGCTGCTGCATCACTTTGTTATGAGGTTTAGTGACTGTCCATTAACTCCCAAGAGCTGATTCTTGCCAGTGCTGCAACATCAGCTGGGAGCCAGAAAGCGCTGACATGGGGAAGTGGGGGCTGGTCTCCCACCCTAGCTGGGCACTCACAGAGTAAGTCAGGGAGGTCACTGGCATGGCTTACTCAGCTCTGCCTGAGTGCCAATTAGCTAAGGTTTTTCTGAGCATTGGCTGGGCCTGCCACAGTTGAAGGAAATTACTGCCAGAGGAACTCGTTTTGTTTTTTATAAGAAAGAAACCACTCTATAGGGATGGATCTTTCCTGACTGTCCTTCCAGTCTCCCCAAGGAAGATCCCTGCCAGCCAGGGTCCCTGGGAAGAGATGACCAAAGTTAGATCACCAAAGTAGTCGCTGGCTACTCACGAGGGTTATTGGTGGGAGAGATTGTTCTTGGCTTTTTGGCTTGAAAGCAGGGATTCTGAGTTCAGCCACTCTGAATATATGTGTGACTTTCCCAGGGAAATAAGGAAGAGAGGCTTCTTATGAAAACACCAGAGACATAAATGGCTTTTCCTGGTTCCTATTGTTCCTTTCCACTCCATTCACAAAATCCAGCTCATCACTGAAAGGCCATTAACTTACTCTTCAAGCCAGGTTAATGAAGGTGGCATCCTGTACCCTCAGAGAACTGGATTCAGGACAGCCTGAAAGAACCCTATAGAACACAAGAACTTGGAATCTAAAAACTCATCTGCTCCAATGCTTTTCTTTTACAGATGAGAAAACTGAAGCCCACAGAAGGGAAGGGACCTGCCTAAAACAGCCAATGGCAGATCTGGGACCAGAACACTGGGCTCCTGATTCCCAGTCAAATGCTTTTATTCTCATGCAGTTTTACATTTCATTCCCTTATTTTATACCCAAGTACTGAGTCCTTACTATCTTGCAGGTGCGATGGGGGGAAGGGTGTGGAGGGAAGCAAAGTGATGAAAACAACACAATCCTTGCCTTGAAGGAGCTATTTCTTGAGGAAAAAATAACTGAGTCAGATTCTCACCCTGTATTATCTCTATAGGTGATGATGGAGGAGGAGAAGGGGAGAGAGGAAACACTCTTACCTGCTCAAGATTTAGAGCTTAAACTTCACTGATTCTAGGGGCTCAAGGAAGCCAGGCCTGGCTAGGGGATAGGAACAGAGATGGAGCTCACATTGGTGTGGTACGTTTGGCAGGCCTGTACCTCCGATCAGGTGCATTACTTCATTAAGTCTCAACGCCGTTCCCTGAGGTGAGAAGAACCGCAGAAGAACCTAACCCCACGTTAGGAGTGAGGAGACTGAGGTTCAGAGAGATCAGGTAACGGGCCAAAGCCACTACATGTCAGAGCCCAGCCAGGGACTCCTAGCCTAGGGCTCTGTCAGTGAGGGTGGGGAAGTTGTGCTGGGTTGGAGGGTCAGGACGAAGCAGCATAAAGCAATGGCTGTGCACAGTGATAAGCCAAGTCTTCCTCTATGCGGTTTTATTTTGATCGCTACATTCTACCACTCACAGAAGTCTGCTCTGAGGAACTGGAAGCACTTTGCAGCCCCAAATGAGCTCATTTAACATACTCTTGCCAGAAAGAGAGAGAACTCCAAATGGTCTAGGGTCATCAGCATTCAGGCCCAGAATAGAAGACAGGACCCAGGTTCCCCCTTCTTTGTCCTCATGCACCAAGGACACATGATGCAAAACTAGCCTCCTTCAGTGGGAGTCAAGAGGGCCACAGGAAAAAACAGGTTCTTCGGACACCTCCCTTCGTTCCTCTGAGAAATGGGTTAATCAGTCCTGAGAGGATGGGTCCTTGCATTGGCCCAAAGGCCATTTCCAGGGCAAAGGCATCTCAGAGAGGGGATGCTCACATCTACTCCAGTCACCCTGGTGACCAGGCTTGGGGAGAAGGGAGCTTAGTGAAGCCCGCTCAGATTCTGCTAATGTCGCAGAGCCTTGGTGGAGACTGGGGTACCAGGGAGTCTGGGAGATTCTCCTCCGGGTTCCTGCAACCAGTGGGCTGGCTGTCCCAAAGCTTCCTGGCGTGCGAGGTCAGGGTGCCCAGGTGACTGCGGTGGCTCTGGTCCCCCAGGCCCCTCCTAGTGTCCCCAGACTGCGCGGTGAGGGGTGAAGAGCACAAGGTGCTGCCAGCTGGGAGTCAGAGATCTATCCCTGAAGGGGCTCCCGCTCCCCTCCCAGCTCGTTCCTAGCTCTGGCTCCCGCTGTGCCCCCCAGACGGCCCCTTACCTGTCCCGCTGCAGGCGGTCCCGCCTCCTCCGCGGGGCTCGGGGACCAGGCATGGGCCGGCG